TTTTTTTTTGCAAATTTATTGGACACATAGGCTACTGTATGTGACTTGTGTTTGTATTTGCCTGTGCATCTGTGTAAATGTTGTGATCAATCTGCTCTTCTCAAGTCTGAAACCTGAAGGCCAAAAAACAAACTGACACTAAACTGTGAATGTGCAGATCTCATGAATATTTAATGAGGAAAGCAGTGAATCAGTTTATGATTGATTGTCTGTTTCTAAACGACTCACTGTAACATTCTCTATAATTTTATACCTTTGGCACCACATTTTGTTGGAGCAGATCTTCATAACTGAGGGTTAAAAGCATCGCTAACCCCTTTTAAAATTATAAGTGTGAAACACTGCTTTACCCGAGGTTAAAAAGACATTAACCCAGGGTTAAGCATTGTGTGAAAAGCCCTGAATACATTATAAAATCATTTATAAGATGGTTACAGGCATAGTGGATCTGAATGACTCAAAAATAAGTGTAATGAAGTGCATCTCTGCAGCCCGTCGGTCATATGTTACTAACAAATACCATTAATGCTGTTACCTTATCACCCTCGGGCTAGTTATCAATCATCTCAACAGACACAACCGACACCGTATGACTTTTAACAAGTCATAAAACTCTGGCTGTTGTGCAGTCGGAAAGTTCTGGATGCACTGAACTATTTCATTTTATGAGTTTCTGACTAAAGCTGTTTAAAAGAAGCATTGTCTATTTGTTTACGCTGTCTTGTGAGCTGGCAGAGTTTCAGTTATGGCACAGTTTTCATTTATTGTCACCCTTAAATGTCCTATTGTGAGTATTATTGCATCAACACTGGCTTTACTGGTCTAGTTAACCATCCCATAATGCTGGTTATACCAGTGTGGGTTGGTACAGCACATGAACACATTTGTAATTAGGCTATACGGTGTGTGCCCTGCATCTTGAACAAAAACTGATTTGCATAAAAGGCCTAATATGTCCTGATATTAACATAATACAAGACTTATTCACCTTACAAATGGCTGTCTAAAGCAAAAATGTTACGAAATTTATCATATTTTGTGAGAAACTGTAACATGCTAGAGTAAAACAGGCGCTATCTCTGGAATCAGCGGCCTTAAATTTGTGAGAAACAAGTACTGGATTTCATTCAGCAAATATGATGCAGGTCAGTGTAATAGAGATGAACACTGCAGTTACAGTCAATATGGTTGTCACTGGTTTGTCATTTTTGTAATGTGTGACAACCACATTCTACAGCCAAATTCCCACCTGAAAAATAATTTATTTTGAATCAATGTATTGTAAATTGTATTGCTTTTGTGAACTATAAGCAACACCAAACAAGTTAGACTGTTGGCATTTGCGTTTCTTCCTTAGAGCAATTGTGGGAGGGACTCCTGAATGATAATTTATGGGATTTACTGTATTTTAATGCTGGTGTCACTCCTAAAATTTTGCAGTGTGTGCGTGGCATATGCTTATTTAAGATTACTCACTAGAGCTAAGATCTGTATATGAGATACTGTATATGGAATTGAAATATTCGTGTTTTTGAAATAAGTCTGCTCACCAAGGCTGCATTTATTTGATCAGAAATACAGTAAAAATAGTGAAATATTATTACAATCTAAAATAACTGTTTTGTATTCGAATGCATTTTAAAATGTAATTTATTCCTGTGATCAAAGCTGAATTTCCAGCATCATTACTCCAGTCTTCAGTGTCACATGATCCTTCAGAAATCATTCTAATATTCTGATTTGCTGCTCAAGAAACATTTCTTATTAGTATCAATGAATTCTCATTCAATCATATCAATGAAAACCGTTTTGCTTAATATTTTTAGGATATTTTAGGATTCTTAAAATAAAACAGCATTTATGTGAAATATGATTCTTTTTTGACATTATAAATATCTGTGTACTGTCACTTTTGATCAATTTAAAGCATACTTGTTGAATAAAAGTATTAATGTTTTCAGTATGTGAATAATATGTTTGGACAAATAATGTTATTATTGTTTAGGTCAGAGCTCCCTGTTGCAACAGCAGACTCCTGTAGGAAACACATGCCTTGATTCATGCAAAACACACTAAAACAAAGATGCATATAATAGCAGTTATAGACAAAGCCATCCTGCATGAATTATACTCTGAACTGAAACGATGACACAAGCTCGTAACAGTGACTGAGTTATCCAGGTCTGTGCCATTGTTCTGTTATTTCCAGTTACACTGGCGTTCTGATTAAAATAAGCCCTGCCAGCCTGTAGTTAGTGCTCTATTGTTTTCACTCCAGCTCAGTCTATTGAAAAAGGTGAGTCATAATTTGAGAGTGATTGCACTGGCAGCGTACATGATCTCTCGCAAATGCACAGCGGATGAGGGATGCCAGATTCAATCGCTTCTCTGCTCCACGTACCTGCAGCCTGTTGCACAAAGGGACCTAATTAGTAGTGATTTAGTTCACATCAGTCTGTTCAGATTCATTTGCTATGGATGATGGATTGTGTATCTGCATCTGGTTTCTACAAATGGCTCGTTAGGTTTATGTTTCAAAAATGTTTCTATTTTCAGATTTCAGATGCTGGGGTTTTGATTTTGGCTTTCCGAAGTACAGGAAGTTCAAAGATCGGCGTGCTTATTGTTTGATTTTTAAATGTTTGCTAAGCTAAGGACCAGTAAACCTGCTGCTTATATATGGATCATACTTTGGGTTAGTGATTTAAACAAACTTATATTAAACTTTGGCATATAAAAAAACACTCAACCATTTAGCAACCACACAGAAACAACCTGGCATAGTTTTGCATGGATAAACACCACTCAAATTCTCTTTCTTGAATTCTGTTTTAGCTGTTGTGCTGAATATAAATGATTATTATTTTTTAACTCTAAGCGACTAATTTGGTGCATGTTTTAGGCTGTTTATTTAGCTTTTATGTAAGGAAGCTGGTATCCTCTTTGGAAAAAAGGTAATCGCGACTTTTTATCTCACAATTCCAACTTTTTTCTCGCAGTTTTTTTTTCTTACACAGGAATTGTGAGATAAGTTGCTATAACTTTTTAAATTTGTTATTCTTTAGCAGGGGATAAAATAAAACAACAACAAAAACAGAAAAAAGTTTTGTTGAGTTTATATCTCACAATTTTGAGTCTGAATTGAGGTAAAGTTTTCTATAGATACGCGTATGAGAGAATGACTAAAGAATAAATTGAGGTGAAGGAACTCAGACTTTTACAAATAAAATTATGACATCTTTTTTTTTTCTTTTCTCTCTAAAGTGATGTTTTGCATGGGTAAACAATTTTTTAATCGCAGATTTGTTTTAAAAATAAAAGAGTCTATTTTAGCTATTGTGTTGACTAAATTAATTTTGAACTCTCTTCCCTAATATACTTTTTTGACAGTTAACCAAAGACGAGAGAAGCGACAATGAAGAAGACGAGGAAGGGGATGGGGAAACCAGTGTGACCGAGGACAATGACGGACATGTGAAAGCGACCAATGGCTGTGGAGCAGGAGGCGGGGCTAATCATCACTGACACCTCTTCTGTCAAACTGTGAAGGACTTTGAATTGCCCTCAGGGATGCGAGGAGCCAAAAACATACATCTGATTTATTGTCACGCAGAGAATATGCCAGAAACCTGTCAAAACAAATTGCATCTTTTAATAATGCTGAAAAAACCCCTCTTTTTTTCCACTCGGCTTCACTGGAGACGACTTGCTGTGTGTCTTGGCTGCTTCAAAACCCTTTCCCCCCTTTCAACTAAAACTTTTTTTCATTATGGCACAAGATCACATGGGTAATTATGAAAGAACATGGCGCAAAGAAAAAGAAACTCCTCGTAAGTTTTAATAGACTCCTCATTGTTTTTGAAGCTCAAAGATCACGTCACACTGGCTGCTCTCGCCGTCTGGCATCACCCATCGAGGCTTCATCTGCCATGCTGTTGAGTTTTACATCAACCTCTGCTGTCCAGCTCAGCCTCTTGTGAGAACTAATAAGATGAGATTTCAAGTTTATGTTTCCTGCAAGTGATTTTGAAGCAGAACATCTACTTTTGTATCACTTTAACCTCTTGCAGGCATTGTTTTCTTTTATTTTTACGCCGTCTCTACAATGAATACGTCCAACTTTGTTTCTTGAAAGAGTTCACACTGTAATACAAGTTTTTTTGTCAATGCAGGCCATTTTCAGAAACTTTTGATGGCTGGAGGTCACTGAGTCTCTGTACTGCTGGTTTCTAGTATGCATTTCTATGCTCAATGTTATTTCAAATCACCAGCTGTCATTGAAAATGAAGGACTTCCAGTCAGTAGTCAGTGTTTATCTATCTATCTATCTATCTATCTATCTATCTATCTTGGCCTCAATTCAAATTGAATTCAAATTCAAGAATTGTTTGTTTTAAAATGCATTCTAAATTCAGCTCTGAATGGTGCACAAGCCTTTTTCAGCTGTTGCTCCATTATGACAGAAGCCGAAATAGAATGGTTTTGATACATTGCTCGCGTCCAGTGTAGACATGGTTTTATAGGATATTACAGTATGGATGTGACTTAAAACTACCTAAGTATATCTCAAGAATGATGTTAAATTTGAGATTTTTTAATGTCTTGTTGACATTTTACGAACTTAAAATAGCTGGTTGAATATTCACATCTGTGAGCGACTGATTTGGTGAGTGTTTTAGGCTATTTAATTAGTATGAAATGAAATGTGTATGAGAGAATGATGAATGAATGAATGAAAGTCAGGCCTTTGCAAATAACATTTTATGACAAGCCATTTGTTTTGCTTGTCAGGGGTTATGCACAGACCCAGAGATCAGCAGAGATGGTTTTGAGAATTTGTGCAGTGCATTTACTGTTTTATCCACTAAAAGTGTAAAGGAATTATTGAAGGATATATTTTTTAAATGTTTAATTCTAATTTTATTGTAATAAAGATTTTGATCCAATATTTCAGTATGCCAGTTTTATAATGCTCTTCAGGGGCCAGTTGCATAAACTTAGCCACCATGTTAAGACTGTGTCTTAAGAACTAGTTTGACCAACTAGCAGTTGCCAAGGGGTAATTAGTCTTACTTTTCCAATACAAATGTGACCCTGGAGCACAAAAGCAGTCTTAAGTTGCACGGGGATATTTGTAGCAATAGCCAAAAATACATTGTATGGGTCAAAATTATCCATTTTTCTTTTATGCCAAAAATCATTAGGATATTAAGTAAAGATCATGTTCCATGAAGACATTTTGTAAATTTCCTACCGTAAATATATCAAAACTTAATTTTTGATTAGTAATATGCATTGCTAAGAACTTAATTTGGACAACTTTAAAGATGATTTTCTCAATATTTTGATTTGTTTGCACCCTCAGATTCCAGATTTTCAAATAGTTGTATCTCGACCAAATATTGTCCTATCCTAACAAACCATACATCAATGGAAAGCTTATTTATTCAGCTTTCAGATGATGTATACATCTCAATTTCAAAAGATTGACACTTAAGACTGGTTTTGTGGTCCAGGGTCACAAATAAGTCCAATCTACCTTTTCATAACTGAATAAGTCCATTCTACCTTTTCATAACTGAATTAAAAAAGTTATGACCAGTCTTGAAGAAAAAAATTAGATGACTAACTTTTTCAGACTAGTCTAAACAGTTTATGCAACCAGACCCAGATCTTTATTTAATGTTAATCTAAATAGCTAGGAATGTCATTTTTCTTCTTCTGTTACATGTTTCTACAGAACCCCAGGTTGAAAACCCAGAAATTGCTCAAATAGATATTATTGACATATTACAATATTTTAGATGTTTTATTTTAGATCACATGTGATATTTGCTTTTGTGGAAGATAATATCCAAGTTGTTGTTTTTTATGCAGTGATACTGGGTATTGATAATGGCGATCAAGCTCAAAAAGCAGTTGTTTAAATCTTTCCACTTCTGTTCTAAACCTCATTAAACCTCATTTATAAGTTTTAAGCAACATGGCAGCGAGTAAACAACAACAGAAATGCATATTTAATTTTTGGGTGAACAGTCTCTGTAAAATCAGTGTGTGTAAATGGCACTCAAGCATCTTAATGTCATAATGAAACAACAGACTGGCTCTTTAAACTCACTTGCACTGAGCAAGCTTTTTGTACTTCCTCTGTTAACTACTAGGGGGAGCAGTTGACCACACTCCTGACTTGTGCAGGAAGCACAGAACTAGTTCTACTGTACAGTGTCAAATCAAAATGAAACCTGCTAAATGGGCATCATTTTTTGGTGTCACAATACATTTTATGCTTGCTTTCATTATGGTGCATCCTGGGATGACTGTATGGATCCGGGCCTCCTGGTGTTTTCATGCAGGTAATATTTTATTGTGCTTTAACTGATGACCACCAGAACAAAGCCTCGCCTCCTAAACATGATTACCATTAGTGGTCTTTGCTGAAGTATAAGCATCACCAATACTGTAGCTCATCCTCAACTGTTTATTGACATGAAGCTAATATTGTGAGGCATGCAATTCACTTTCTAAACAAGTTTTATCATGTTTTTTGAATGGTAAAATTCACACTCTTAAACTGAAAGAAGGACAGTCATAACAGAGACACTTGATGGTGGTCTCTTATGACTTCTGCCCAGCCGTGGCTTATCTGAAAGGACAGATGGGGTAGAGCCAAAATATCAATCCAAAACATAGACCTATATAAACTGAATTAATACATTTTTTGGGGGGGATTTTCTAGACCATTTGATGTCATAAAGTGAGCAGGATATATAAAAATGTAAGGTATGGCTTCAGCAGGCATGTATTATAATCCTAAACAGGACAGACAGAGTCTGATACTTCCCCAGCTCTACAGCGCCCCTCAATTTTCCCCGTGTAAATCTGTGGTGAGAAATGGAACTGCAGAACTCTAATTTAGAGCCTTGGGGCAGATTTGAGACTGTCGCTTGTTTTCACTTTATGTTACGTAAACTTCGCTCCAGATCAAGACAATATATCAGTCAGCTTAAACTCTGTATATTAGTCTGCATCAGGTCAGCAACTAGTTGGCATGTCATGTCTTCCTATGTATAGTAGCGTATCAAATTAATAAAGTATAAATCCTTTATTGTACCCTTTATATAGTTAGGCTATGTTGTGTTTTATGTTTGTTCTGAGAATAGACATTACTTTTTTTTTCTCACTGGAATTTCTCCACAACTTGTAACAATCTTAATCAATATTCAGAGGCAATAAATACTAATTCTAAGATAGCATTCTATGTATTGTATGTGTTGTGTGTACTAAAAGACTGTCAATCAACATTTTGGCAACAACCTTTGCCAAAAGTGTACTACGTGTCTTCATTAATTAGAATATAACGCCTACAAAATGTTTATCATAAACTAGCGGTAAGACCCTCAATTTACGGTCAGGAGCTGCTACTGCTTGGGCCAGTAGGCAATCATCCAGAACACCCAAGAAACTGCTTTGCAACATCCCCAAAACACCCAGAACACCAAGGCCCCGCTATCCACAGGAAGCAGCAGTAACTCTTCTGTGGTGCTTTGGCAAAGAGGAATGAGAAATCAAAGCACTTGAAATAGGATTAAAGCCTCTGCTGACCTACTCTAATGAACTTTATCCACTCGCAAGAGCTCCGTTCTCAGGGTATGGACTGCTAATATATGAGTTTTGGTTGTTCATACCGTTGAAAGAGAATCCACAGAATTAATACAATGTAGATTCTTCTTACACCAAAAAATTGTTCAGCTCTAATATGTAATTCAGAACTCACTAGCAACCCCCCTGCAACACCCTAGCTACTGCATAGCATAACTTTTAAAATGTGTCACAGAAAACATTATGCAATGCATTTTTGTTTTATGTTTCTTATTGCATATTGACACTGGGCTTATTGTCACAAATGCAAAAGCTGAGCTCACATAGTTTTGGTCTTTTAATCACTGTATATGGGCTATTTATGGAAAATATTTGTCCTACTCTACAATAGCACTGCTTTGTGTGCTTTGACCACTAAATATCTAACATTCAAAATGACAATTTTCAGCTCAATATATTATAATAATACTTAAATCGATACTCACCCATAACGTTATCCAGGTCTGCACATGCTCTACATTAGTAATAATGCATCACATCTGTTGCTTCTAAAACTGATGAGGCACAATTACAGCAACCAGGCATTGCCAGCATACGCCACGGAGATGGTATCCTGTCATATAAGGATTCACAATAAGTCTTAGCTTATGATAAAGAACGTCAATAACACAAAGAGATGGAAAATTGCGTTTGTCAGCTCTATGTTATTTGAATTTCTTTATCTAATTGATTTTGATTATTCAGGTTCACGCTGACTGTTGTCTTTAATATATAATGGCAAATAACATTTATGTCATTATTTTGACTTGGAAGTTTTTTTTTTCATATTAATCATAAATATTTGTCCTACTCTACAATAGCACTGCTTTGTGTGCTTTGACCACTAAATATCTAACATTCAAAATGACAATTTTCAGCTCAATATATTATAATAATACTTAAATCGATACTCACCCATAACGTTATCCAGGTCTGCACATGCTCTACATTAGTAATAATGCATCACATCTGTTGCTTCTAAAACTGATGAGGCACAATTACAGCAACCAGGCATTGCCAGCATACGCCACGGAGATGGTATCCTGTCATATAAGGATTCACAATAAGTCTTAGCTTATGATAAAGAACGTCAATAACACAAAGAGATGGAAAATTGCGTTTGTCAGCTCTATGTTATTTGAATTTCTTTATCTAATTGATTTTGATTATTCAGGTTCACGCTGACTGATGTCTTTAATATATAATGGCAAATAACATTTATGTCATTATTTTGACTTGGAAGTTTTTTTTTCATATTAATCATTAATAGCATCACTTAATTTGACAAGGTGTTGCATCTCTAACAATTAATACGTTTACTATGATCTATGACTATGTAAATGCTAGAGAAGACCAGCTTTAGGTGGTTTGCTGTCAGTAGCTGATTTTTTAAATGGTTTAGCTGGTCTCCTGGTCTGGCCAAATCAGTGTTTGGCTGGTTTAGCTGGTTGGCCCAACCGACCTGCTGACTAGTACCCAAAACCCATCTAAAACCTAGACCAGCAAACCACTTTAGCTTGGTTTAAGATGTCTTTTTAGTAAGGTAGCCTACTCTCTGTGGACCCTGATGTGGGGGTGATGATGTAACCCCCGCTTCTGATCAAACGGCTGATTTGCTTTCAGTGTTGCCAACTAATTTTCAGGGGAAGTCGCTCAAGAAAGGTTGATTTGTTGCTAAAAGTTGTTAAATGGCGTTGTGACGTCATTGCGTGATGACGTCATTATGTAATCATGACGCAAATTTGTGTCACTGCATCAAATCTCAGCAAAAAAAAAAATCATATGTTAATTTATATTTGTTTGTAAAATAATAGAAATGCATAATATAATATTAAAATATAAATAACAATTTTTAAATACAACATTCAATTATTGAGTACTTACCCTACACATTTTTGAACGATTACCATTTAAGTTGATTATTATTATTAGCTTGTAAACTAGTAAAACTATACATTCTGAACAATTACAGTTTTAAGCAGTGTATTGGTAGTTAGTTAGTATGCTACAATCTAAAAGTCTGTAAAAATAGGGCACAATCTACTATGTTAATGTAGAGGAATTTTCCAAATGTATTATTTACAGGTGTTTTCCCTGCAATTTAAATTATGCATTGCATTTAATGTTTTCAGGTTACAATGGATAACGTCCTGGAAAATTACTAACTTTTCCATTTTTCTAGATATTTTTTTTACAGTGTACCAACAATCACAGGTACAAGCTACTAACAAGGTGTCATAAATGAACAATTATTCAATTATTCAGTAGTTGTTGTTGTTATTATTATTATTATTATTATTATTATTATTATTATTAAATTGAACAATTGCAAATAGCAGCTAACTTAATTCATGGGATATGTGTACTACTAGTCATCTTTGGTTTCCTCTTTTTGTGTAATTTTTATGAAAAATGTGTCCCTTTTATTGTTTAAGTCACTTATCAAAAGTTACTAAAAGTTGCCAAATAAATTTTTAAAATATCTAAATTTGTTGCTAGGTGCTTTTGGAAGAAAACGTTGCTAGGGTAGTATGAAAAGTTGCTAAATCTAGCAACAAAATTGCTAAATTGGCAATAGATCTGGGACCGCGTGCACTGTTCCAGCCCTTTTTACAGACTGACAGAATCAGTAACCAATGACGCTGCGAGGATCTATTTACTTGGATCTCATCGACCAATCTGAACGCTGATGGGGCGGGACGTCGGTGTCAGGGGGCGGAGCTTTTGCATGAAGTTGAGTTCCCCGTCTGCTGTAATTAAACTTTCTGAAACTTCGCGTCAGTTCGCTGTTGCTGCTCCGCAAGCGCACACTGCCTGCCCTCTTCACAAAGACTTGCTCTACGATATATTACTCTTAATAATGCACGGCCATGACTCTTTACTGCTTTTCTTCCCTTTTGTTCTCTTTCGCATCGGACTGAATGCAATATCAGGTAAGACTGCAGCACCTGCGATACTCCTGACAGAAATTCACCATGGTAACCAGTTTCAGGCTAATATACCAATATTGCTACAGTTATAGCTTCTAGGGAAAAAGAAAATAAATACAATGACAGAAATAATATGAAAGCTTCTACACTATTCCCGTTTTAACTTATTATTGTTTTGCAGTAGTCACGATAACGGCGGAAACTGCGGTTACCATGGTCATTTTTTCGTCTGGACCATTTACTAACGGCGTCTTTGTCCTCGACTTGGTTATATTATTTTAAACTGCATATTTTCCTTGCTGCTTACAAAATAGTTTCAGCCATGTTGTTACAATTAAGATGAAATTGTTTATTTAAGAGCCATATAGGGCTTACCAGCCAGGTTACGTTTCAAGATGTTGGCCGTGTCTCAAACCCTAGTCAGCTGCCTACCTAGACCGCTTTTGTTGGGCTTCATAGGCGGAAAGAAATGCTGTGACGTCACGTGCGCTCTCTTGGCAGAGTGCATGTTACATCACAGTGCTAAGAGGGCATGTGAGCTCATGCAACTGCATGATGGCCAAAACTGCTGTCTACTAGATAGTCATCATCTTACAAGAGTACAGAAGGCACATTCTCTGTGTAGTGAGCTTCCTAACTAGACAGTTTAGGGCGTTTTATGCATTATAAACATTCTTGACTGAGAGTGCATGCAAGCTAATGCATTTTTGATACTCAAAAATGCTGTCTAGATAGTCAGCTTACTAGGGTACAGAAGTCACATTTTATGGGTAGTTTTATGCCTACCTATACAGTTTTGGGGACATTTTATGCATTTTAGACAGTCTTCTGACCGAGAGCATGTGAGCTCATGCAACTGCATGATGCCTAAAATGCTGCCTAGATAGTCAGTGTATTAGAGTACAGAAGTCACATTCTCTTTTTAGTGGCTGCCTAACTAGAAAACATTTGGGGCTTTTTAGACATTCTCTTGGCTGAGAGGGCACATGAGCTCTTGCAGCTGTATGATGCCCAAAATGATGTCTAGATAATCAGCTTACTAGGGTACAAAAGTCACATTATCTATGTAGTAAACTGCCAAACTAGAAAATTTTTATCATCTCAGACGTTTTCTTGGCTAAGAAGCTCATGCAATGGATTATGCCTAAAAATGCTGTCTTCTAGATCATCTTACAAAAAGTCAGTCACAGAAGTCACATTCTCTGTGTACTGAGCTGCCTAACTAAACAGTTTTTTTTGGGGAATTTTAGGCACATTTAGGCATTCACTCGGCTGAGATTACATGTGAGGTCATGCAACTGTATGATGCCCAAAATGCTGTCCAAAATGCTGTCTTACTAGGGTACAAAAATCACATTCTTTGTGTAGTAAACAGCCTAACTAGACAGTTTTGGGGGGAATTTTAGGCACATTTTAGATGTTCTCCTTGCTGAGAATCCATGCAAGCTCACGCAAATGCGTGATGCCCAAAATTCTGTCTAGATAGTCAGCTTACTAGGGTACAGAAATCACATTGTCTGCTGCCCAACTAAACAGTTTTTGTGGGGTTTTTTTTGTAGTATTTTAGGCTCATCTTAGACATTCTCTTGGCTGAGAGTGAATGTGAGCTCATGGAACTGCATGATGCCCAAAAGTGCTGTCTAGTCAGCTTACTAGGGTACAGAAATCACATTCTCTGCAAAGTGAGCTGCCTAACTAGACAGACTTTTTTTTTGCATTTTTTATATCATTTGGAGATAGATATTATCTATTGCCAAAGAGTGCATGTGAGTTCATGCAACTGTATGACACCCAAAAATACTGTCTTAGTAGGCAGCCAGATAGTGTGTCCTCTGTACTCTGGTGAGCTGCTTTCCTAGACAGCATTTTTAGGCATTACGGGCACAAAAAAACTCTTTTGGCAAAGAGCGTATGTTACGTCACAGTGCTGAGAGAGCATGTGAGCTCATGCAACTGTGTGATGCCCAAAAATGCAGTCTAGGTAGGCAGCCTACTAGATTTTGAGTGTGTACTTATGTTTCTGTGCAGTCGGCTACTTACCAAGTCCACTTTCATTTTATAAACTCTTCTGTACCGTCTCGATTTCCACATCTAATGTTTTAACAAGTTTATTTCTCCTTGCGTGTAATGTGAGCTCATGCAACTGCATGATGCCTAAAATGCTGCCTAGATAGTCAGTGTATTAGAGTACAGAAGTCACATTCTCTTTTTAGTGGCTGCCTAACTAGAAAACATTTGGGGCTTTTTAGACATTCTCTTGGCTGAGAGGGCACATGAGCTCTTGCAGCTGTATGATGCCCAAAATGATGTCTAGATAATCAGCTTACTAGGGTACAAAAGTCACATTATCTATGTAGTAAACTGCCAAACTAGAAAATTTTTATCATCTCAGACGTTTTCTTGGCTAAGAAGCTCATGCAATGGATTATGCCTAAAAATGCTGTCTTCTAGATCATCTTACAAAAAGTCAGTCACAGAAGTCACATTCTCTGTGTACTGAGCTGCCTAACTAAACAGTTTTTTTTGGGGAATTTTAGGCACATTTAGGCATTCACTCGGCTGAGATTACATGTGAGGTCATGCAACTGTATGATGCCCAAAATGCTGTCCAAAATGCTGTCTTACTAGGGTACAAAAATCACATTCTTTGTGTAGTAAACAGCCTAACTAGACAGTTTTGGGGGGAATTTTAGGCACATTTTAGATGTTCTCCTTGCTGAGAATCCATGCAAGCTCACGCAAATGCGTGATGCCCAAAATTCTGTCTAGATAGTCAGCTTACTAGGGTACAGAAGTCACATTTTATGGGTAGTTTTATGCCTACCTATACAGTTTTGGGGACATTTTATGCATTTTAGACAGTCTTCTGACCGAGAGCATGTGAGCTCATGCAACTGCATGATGCCTAAAATGCTGCCTAGATAGTCAGTGTATTAGAGTACAGAAGTCACATTCTCTTTTTAGTGGCTGCCTAACTAGAAAACATTTGGGGCTTTTTAGACATTCTCTTGGCTGAGAGGGCACATGAGCTCTTGCAGCTGTATGATGCCCAAAATGATGTCTAGATAATCAGCTTACTAGGGTACAAAAGTCACATTATCTATGTAGTAAACTGCCAAACTAGAAAATTTTTATCATCTCAGACGTTTTCTTGGCTAAGAAGCTCATGCAATGGATTATGCCTAAAAATGCTGTCTTCTAGATCATCTTACAAAAAGTCAGTCACAGAAGTCACATTCTCTGTGTACTGAGCTGCCTAACTAAACAGTTTTTTTTGGGGAATTTTAGGCACATTTAGGCATTCACTCGGCTGAGATTACATGTGAGGTCATGCAACTGTATGATGCCCAAAATGCTGTCCAAAATGCTGTCTTACTAGGGTACAAAAATCACATTCTTTGTGTAGTAAACAGCCTAACTAGACAGTTTTGGGGGGAATTTTAGGCACATTTTAGATGTTCTCCTTGCTGAGAATCCATGCAAGCTCACGCAAATGCGTGATGCCCAAAATTCTGTCTAGATAGTCAGCTTACTAGGGTACAGAAGTCACATTTTATGGGTAGTTTTATGCCTACCTATACAGTTTTGGGGACATTTTATGCATTTTAGACAGTCTTCTGACCGAGAGCATGTGAGCTCATGCAACTGCATGATGCCTAAAATGCTGCCTAGATAGTCAGTGTATTAGAGTACAGAAGTCACATTCTCTTTTTAGTGGCTGCCTAACTAGAAAACATTTGGGGCTTTTTAGACATTCTCTTGGCTGAGAGGGCACATGAGCTCTTGCAGCTGTATGATGCCCAAAATGATGTCTAGATAATCAGCTTACTAGGGTACAAAAGTCACATTATCTATGTAGTAAACTGCCAAACTAGAAAATTTTTATCATCTCAGACGTTTTCTTGGCTAAGAAGCTCATGCAATGGATTATGCCTAAAAATGCTGTCTTCTAGATCATCTTACAAAAAGTCAGTCACAGAAGTCACATTCTCTGTGTACTGAGCTGCCTAACTAAACAGTTTTTTTTGGGGAATTTTAGGCACATTTAGGCATTCACTCGGCTGAGATTACATGTGAGGTCATGCAACTGTATGATGCCCAAAATGCTGTCCAAAATGCTGTCTTACTAGGGTACAAAAATCACATTCTTTGTGTAGTAAACAGCCTAACTAGACAGTTTTGGGGGGAATTTTAGGCACATTTTAGATGTTCTCCTTGCTGAGAATCCATGCAAGCTCACGCAAATGCGTGATGCCCAAAATTCTGTCTAGATAGTCAGCTTACTAGGGTACAGAAGTCACATTTTATGGGTAGTTTTATGCCTACCTATACAGTTTTGGGGACATTTTATGCATTTTAGACAGTCTTCTGACCGAGAGCATGTGAGCTCATGCAACTGCATGATGCCTAAAATGCTGCCTAGATAGTCAGTGTATTAGAGTACAGAAGTCACATTCTCTTTTTAGTGGCTGCCTAACTAGAAAACATTTGGGGCTTTTTAGACATTCTCTTGGCTGAGAGGGCACATGAGCTCTTGCAGCTGTATGATGCCCAAAATGATGTCTAGATAATCAGCTTACTAGGGTACAAAAGTCACATTATCTATGTAGTAAACTGCCAAACTAGAAAATTTTTATCATCTCAGACGTTTTCTTGGCTAAGAAGCTCATGCAATGGATTATGCCTAAAAATGCTGTCTTCTAGATCATCTTACAAAAAGTCAGTCACAGAAGTCACATTCTCTGTGTACTGAGCTGCCTAACTAAACAGTTTTTTTTGGGGAATTTTAGGCACATTTAGGCATTCACTCGGCTGAGATTACATGTGAGGTCATGCAACTGTATGATGCCCAAAATGCTGTCCAAAATGCTGTCTTACTAGGGTACAAAAATCACATTCTTTGTGTAGTAAACAGCCTAACTAGACAGTTTTGGGGGGAATTTTAGGCACATTTTAGATGTTCTCCTTGCTGAGAATCCATGCAAGCTCACGCAAATGCGTGATGCCCAAAATTCTGTCTAGATAGTCAGCTTACTAGGGTACAGAAATCACATTGTCTGCTGCCCAACTAAACAGTTTTTGTGGGGTTTTTTTTGTAGTATTTTAGGCTCATCTTAGACATTCTCTTGGCTGAGAGTGAATGTGAGCTCATGGAACTGCATGATGCCCAAAAGTGCTGTCTAGTCAGCTTACTAGGGTACAGAAATCACATTCTCTGCAAAGTGAGCTGCCTAACTAGACAGACTTTTTTTTTGCATTTTTTATATCATTTGGAGATAGATATTATCTATTGCCAAAGAGTGCATGTGAGTTCATGCAACTGTATGACACCCAAAAATACTGTCTTAGTAGGCAGCCAGATAGTGTGTCCTCTGTACTCTGGTGAGCTGCTTTCCTAGACAGCATTTTTAGGCATTACGGGCACAAAAAAACTCTTTTGGCAAAGAGCGTATGTTACGTCACAGTGCTGAGAGAGCATGTGAGCTCATGCAACTGTGTGATGCCCAAAAATGCAGTCTAGGTAGGCAGCCTACTAGATTTTGAGTGTGTACTTATGTTTCTGTGCAGTCGGCTACTTACCAAGTCCACTTTCATTTTATAACCTCTTCTGTACCGTCTCGATTTCCACATCTAATGTTTTAACAAGTTTATTTCTCCTTGCGTGTGTCCTTCTTTAACTAACTGCAGGCAGACTTGTAAACTCAACTCTGACTTATAAAACTAGGAGTTGGGCATTTTTTTCCCACAGAACTTAGAAATATCAGGGAATTTAAAAAAAATTATTTGTAGGTCTGGAAAAGTCATGGAAATGATTCAAATCTTTAAAAATCGAAATGCTTCTGGTTATGCTTAGTGCTAAAAGATTTCATTGCATGAAATGGTTTTGAGACTCTTCTCCAGTAATTCTGAATGGCTGGAAAGGTCATGGAAGCTGTTTTTTGGGAACCACGACGTGACTAACATACACTTTACACTGTTATTCTAATTACAACGTGTTGCATGTTTCCTAGCGCAATCGACCATGTACGAGACAGATGTGGTCGTTCCGCAGCAGCTGCGGCCGGACGAGGTGCACCTGCTCCAGGGAGCCTACAGGTGGAGCAGGGGTCGCAGACCACGCTCGGACCATCAGCAGGAGGACCACCTGTTTCTACGACTGCCTGCTTTCGGAAAGGAGCTTTACTTGCAGCTCCAGAGAGACGACTCTTTCCTCGCCGAGGGGTTTGTGACGGAGGAGAGGGGTGAGGAGGGCAGCTTTCAGCATGAGCCTGTTCTAAGGGTCAGACGGTGTTTCTATACCGGAGCCGTTCTCAATCACACAGACTCTTTCGCCTCATTGGACGCTTGCGGTGGACTGGTGAGTGGAGTTCAGGTTGTTGGGAGATTATCACTGCTGGGAAGACATGATTTGTATGTTCATACATGAAACCTGTCAAGAACATTTTTGGGATGTATTTCACCCCAAAATCAAAAAGAAGAATACGAAATAAGATCTTGCATAGAGAAAATAAATGTGACCCTCTCTGTGAAATCCAGGCTAAAGTCTCAAAATCTAATTATGAGATAACAAGCATCAAAGTTTGATTTCAGCCATTAATTTCACTATGATTTCAGTCTTTGACATGGTCTTAGTCAGTAATAAAGATATCAATGTTACATGTTCACAGAATGTTCTTTACCTTATGAAGGATGATTTTATATAGAAAACAGTAAATCACCAAAAAATGACTTTAGCTGGGTTTTCACAGACAGGGTCACAAATATCCTTTTATTTATTTATTTATTTATTGTGACATTCTTGTTACCATACTACAAAAAACTCACATTCTCATTATTATTATGGACATAATAACGCTTTTTATTTATTTCTTCTCTTATATTTATGTTATATATTATATTAATTACATTTTTAATTATTATGTTTTATATTAATTCTATTTATTAAGTTTAAAATTTATATTTTAAAAAGTGTGAGGTAGTAAGACTTTTTAAAAAATAAATTATTATTTTTATTCAGCTAGGACACATTAAATTGATCAAAAGTGTCAGTAAAGACATATATAATGTTACAAAATATTTTTTTTATTTCAAATTAACGTTATATTCATCATAAATCCTGAAAAAAATGGTCATGTTTCCACAAAAATATGAAGCAGCACAATTGGTTTCGATATTGATAATAATAAGAAATGCTTCTGAATGTTACAAAATATTTTTTTTATTTCAAATTAACGTTATATTCATCATAAATCCTGAAAAAAATGGTCATGGTTTCCACAAAAATTGGTTTCGATACTGATAATAATAAGAAATGCTTCTGGAGGAGCAAATCAACATATTAGAATGATTTCTGAAGGATCATGTGAACTGAAGACTGGAGGAATGATGCTGAAAATTCAGCTTTGCATCACAGAAATAAATTACATTTTACAATATATTAAATTAGAAAACGTTTATTTTAAATTGTAATAATATTGTCACAATATTACTGTTTTTACCATATTTTTTGATCAAATAAATTTAGCCTTGTTGAGCAGAAGAGACTTCTTTTAACAACCTCAAACTTTTGAATGGCAGTATATGCTGTCCTAAATAAGCACATTTATTTCTGGTTAATTGCATTTTATTATTTGCATTGTTTTTTTCTTTTCTTTTGTGACCCTTTTTTGTCAACCGAGAATCACCAATATAGGCTATTTTTTAAATTAAGTAGTTATGCTTTATGTTAGTAGTTATTTTACTTACTTTTATTTAAGCTAATTTTGATTAAACGGGTAACAGTATTTAAGGCCATGAGAACTTGCTTAAATGTCATTAAAACAATGGTGCAATGCATTTAATTTTTAATGTCTCAAAACAGACTTCATTTTCCTCATGCGAAATACAATTTCTTCTTATTTATCTTTTGATTTTGAGTTGAAATGTGACATTGACATGTGTTCGTGAGATTCACCCGAGCGCACTTTGAATGTGTGCTGGTTATTTGACTTTGTGGTTGTGAGCATTCCAGGCCCACCCACGGGAGAGAGGCTGTGTTTGTTTGAGAAAGAGTTTCCCTGACTTTGGTCCCATTACGATCATTCCATCCTTCAAACTTCCTTTGAATGGCTGTGTTAAATGCCATCAATCAAGCGGCTGAAAGACAAATGGCACTCCATTATCACAAGCTGTCAATTGCCTAATTGGTTAGAATGCAGGTTTTGTACGTCATCTGATTGGCCTTAGCCAAAGTTCGTGATCTTCGTAATGTTCTGCACAACCTTATTGATAAACTTCACTGATTGACTCTTCGGTTAATGGACAACTAGTTGACCACCCTGACTCATCGCTCTTTAGGCTGACTCTGGAAAATGAGCTCATCGTTATTGTAAATGTTCTACTCTCATGTGGTGAGGACGGTTTTGACACCTAAAGTGAGACTGACAGCGAGCAGATGTGAGGCTCTCGACGGCTGTGCAGATGAGCTGAAGATCAGCTCGGTGTTTAACGAGCCCCGTCTGACATCTGTCTGTGACCACATGGTTCTCTCTCCACGGGTCATCTATAGGCGAGGAAATACGATTTTGGATGGCGGTAACAGTGTCTTTAGTTAAGTCACCTTTATTTCCATAGCGCTTTATACAATACAGATTGTGTCAAAGCAGCTTCACTGTGATAAACAGGAAAAAAACAGAATCAATTATGGAAACTCGACTATGGAGACAATTCAGATTCTGCCGTATAGTTTTATCATTTAGCACAAGTTGGTTTTAGTGTTGGTTCAGTTCAGATCAATTTTGAAACAATTTCAATTCAGCGATAAGCAGCTTTACAAAAGACAGCAATGATGTTCATTATTCAACTCGAGTCAGTTCAGTGTTGATTCGAATCAGTTCCATAACAGTGTCGATGTTGCAAGATGTGATTCAGCTGTAAAGCAGCTCTACAGAAGACGAAACTGCCATCATCATGCTTAATTCAGTTTAAGTTGGGTTCTCATTTCTTTGGTGTCAGTGCTGTCATATTTTTAGATACTTTCTCATTATTGAGTTAATTAATATAAGTATATTTAGGGTCCTATGAAATCCATTTTATTTTTTTCTGGATTCCGTTTTTCTGTTTTCAGTTTTCTAGATTCCATTTTAATGGTTAAATAAAATTTTAGTAACTGAAAACACGTGTAATTAATTGAAATCATGAATTTTGTACAATTTATTAAATGTGACCCTGGAGCACAAAACCAGTCTTAAGTCGCTGGGGTATATTTTTAAGCAATAGCCAAAAAAAATTATATGGGTCAAAATTATCGATTTTTCTTTTATGCCAAAGATCCTAAGTAAAGATCATGTTCCATGAAGATATTTTGTAAATTTCCTAGTACCATAAATATATAAAAAGTTAATTTTTGGTTAGTAATATGCATTGCTAAGAACTTCATTTGGACAACTTTAAATGTGATTTTCTCAGTATTTTGATTTTTTTGCACCCTCCGATTCCAGATTTTGAAATGGTTGTATCTCGGCCAAATATTGTCCTATCCTAACAAACCATATATCAATGGAAAGCTTATTTATTCAGCTCTCAGATGATGTATACATCTCAATTTAAAAAAATTGACCCTTATGACTGGTTTTGTGGTCCATGGTCACAAATATTTAACACAAGTGAAATCCACTTATTTTTTCCCAGTTTTCATTTTATTTTCCCCAAATTCTGTGTTTTCTGTTTGAATTTTTCTGGATTGATTACATTTTAATAATCCAAAACCATGTCTAATCAATTGATTTCATAAAACTTTAACAATATAATAATATATTAAAATAGGGCCCAATGAAATGCTTTATTCAGAAATTCTGTGTTGTCTGTTTTAATTTTCTGCATTTATGATTTAATGCTTTTATTATCAAAAACAGTGGTAAATCAAATGAAGGAATAAAACATTAACAGTTCAGTTAATCTTTTAAACTGTAAATGAAAATGTAACAATGGAGTGAACTGAAGTGACTCCCAGTACATCTCTGAAAATGAAGTTCATGTGGAGTTTCCTCATGTAGTGAGACGGCCGATGCTGTAAACACCACAAGTGTCTCGTGTGTTTGAGTTTGCTCATTCACACAGAGACACACAGAACATTCAGTCTTTCAATACCAATCTTGCTGTGCTTTAATATTTGCAGACACTAGTTCCTTTGATTGATTGTACAGTCCTGCTTCTGATTTATTCATCCAAACTTCGCCAAATGCCATGACATTTTGCGTTATACTGTAAATTCCACACTTTATGACTGGATTACGTGATTCTGTCCACATATTTTACATCATGGAAATCATATTTATAGTTACAAGTTACCAATTTTTTATCTGAGTTTGTTGTAGTGCATTCATAGGATTGCCTTCTCTATGAAGAATGCATCTGATGCTAATGTTGATTTTGTCTAAATGTGTGAGCTCAGTAGGTTTTGGGACAGCGCCCTTCAGACCAGCGAGGAGTCTAATTCTACTAACTTCTACTTAGTAAGCTTGTTTTTAAACAATGTTGAAATTGGAGAGGACCAAAACAAGATCTTCCTGCCTGTTAATGTCATTTCAGACGGTTTTTACGGCTCGATCGTTCCTCAGAGTGTAGCCATATGTAACTGTACTTTGTTTAACCTGGTTCATGTGGGGTTTGCCTGTACATGTTGTGATGAAAGCGTGTGTTTTACAGCCTCTGTGGGCAACTTCCTGTCAGCACTCCCATGTTCTCCTCCTCCTCCTCCACCCGCCCGGGGCTCTATGCACATCTCCCTCACCTCCATCCATGTGCATTTTCCACTCTTTTCTCCTGTGAAAGCCTCCGTTGTGCAGCGTGGATGCATCGTCAATCCAGACTCTCCCGCTTGACTGATTGCTGTCGTCGGATTTGATGCTGACTTGGTCGTGTTTCAGGTCTTGGCAACAAGAGATAAATTATTCTCACATTTCACATCTTTGTGCCCTTGAAGCCACAAGGGGCGTCACAGTCAGATGGAGGGGAAGCAAGGCTAACGTACAGAATATGTGAGATCCTCAGAGGGGCTCATGATGAATGATCCTGGGTGTTCTGTCAGAGAAAACACATCAGCTTCCTCCTGGAGCACATCATTTGAGATTCTGTTTAAAATCTTGAAGGAATAGTTCACCCAAAATTATGGCGTTATTTACTGTACAGCAGCAGTTCAAAGTAATTATAAAACACCACAAAATTGCTCCATATGACTTTAGTTTTAGTCTGTTCCTCACACAGAGCTATCATGTGATTTCAGACTTGAAATATAGATTCATATGGACTATTTGTTTTCTAATTTTATAGTGCATTAAGATTATTTATTTATTCATTTATTTTTTTAGAAATGTGGCT